TCCCCGATGGCGTCCGCGTACAGCACCGCCTCCGAGGGCTTCAGCAGCCGCTGGTTGAGGACCTGGCGCAGGCGGTACCAGCGCTCCCCTTCCCTGCGTGGGGATGGGGCTCAGCACCATGGCCACAGAGGTGCGGGGGCCTGGCAGCAGTTTCACGATCCCTGGCTGCACCCTCCCACCCCCGCGGCCATGCCCTTCTGCTTGGGAGGGGCACGCTGCTTGCAGGAGAGGGAGCAATACAAGCTGACACCCAGGCCCTACACCCGAGGGAGGGCCAGGAGCCGCCTGCCGTCCCACAGAGCGCGGCTGGGGCAGGACTCACTCGGTGAAGGGTCCGTAGGGCAGGCGCCGGGTGTCCCGGTGCTCCTTCCAGAGGGCCATGTCGCTCCGCATGGGGTACTTGCCCTCCTGCCGCAGCAGCTGCTCCAGCACCACCGGGCTCCCGATGTTGATGTTCTCGTAATGCCCGAAGGTCGACTTCCAGATAGGGCCATAAATGCGCCGGGACATCACCTGTGGTGCACCAGAGCACATCAGAGTGAATGGGACAGCTCCAGTGCTGGGGCTGGATCAGTCCCCCTCTGCCCCAGTCCTGCCCTGTGTGTGCCCAGCATGCTCTGCACCCATCCCAGGGACCCCTCAGCGCCTGACTCTGACCCCCCCTAGCTGGCACCGTCCTTGAAGCACTCTGCAGATGGCTTGGGCTGGTGTCTCCAGGCACACATCCTCCTCCAGCAACAAGCACACCAGTCACCAACCCCTGGCAGAGGCTGGCACATGCCTCACCTGCTCCAGAGATCCACAGAGGGGCTGGTGGTTTTTTTGGGGAAGCAAGACCAAGAGGGGACAGCAGGGACAGGGACAATGACCAAGTACAGGGCTGTGTTGAGATGTGAGGCCATTGCAGTGGCTGTCGGCACATCCAAGCCCTGCTCCTTCCCACACAGTCCCAGTTCTGCTCAACCTGGGGACAACAGTCCCTGCATGGGTCCTTGAACCCACCACCTGCTATGGGTGGTTAATGATCACCTGTGGGAGGGCAGCACCAGGCTGGGGCAGGACTGGGTGGCTCCTGAGGCAGGCTGACGCCCCCAGGGCATGGCCCTGGGGCCATAGAACCACAGGCCAGCTAAGGACATCCACTAGCATCAGCCCCGCTCCGGACTCTGCAGGCCACAGCTCTCCTCAGCTGCAC